TAAATATATTTTTACATTTGGCTAGCTGGTAACCAAGGCTAGGCTTTTCGGTTGAGTCTTCCGGCTAAAATCGTAGAAATACGGCCGTAGCTCCGGCTAGACTTGAGATATTTTAGATTCGCTTAATGTATTCGAATTGCCCATGCGACGGCGTATTTGACTGTAAATTTCACGATTTTATTTTCACATTTGGATAGCTGTTAGCCGATGCTAAACCTTTCGGTTGACTTTTCCGGCTAAAATCGTAGAAATACGGCCGTAGCCTCCGGCTAGACTTGAGATACATCAGATTGACTTAGTGTATTCAGATAGCCCGTGGGACGGGGAGTTTAGATATGTAAAGGTTATGAGTTTATTTTCACATTTGGCTATTTGGTAGCCGATGCTAAATGTTTTGGTTGACTTTTCCGGCTAAAAACGTCGAAAAACGAGTATAGTCCGGTTAGACTTAAGATGCTTCAGATTGACTTAGTGTATTCAGATAGCCCGTGCGACGGGAAGTTTGGATATGCAAATTTCATGAGTTTATTTTCACATTTGACTAGCCGGTAGCCAATGCTATACATTTCCGTTAACTTCGGGGGGTTCGACAATAACTAACTACCACTAGAACTACCGGTAGGCTTATTCGATTCATCACGCACAGTGTACGACAGTTTTAGCGAGTAGCTTGATTCTTCTGAGCGACTAATGCATTTCCGATGCATCGCCTAATTAAAGTTCGAGCACATCGGACCACTCATTGCACTCATTACAGATCTTTTAGCTCTTGTTTACAGTTTAATCAAAGCTACACTAAGCGTCCAACAAGGAACAAATATCACCACACTAAATGCTAGTCGCAACTCAATGGATGTAACCCATGATTGAACGTCTCGCTGCAACGATTCCGCAGCCTTCAATTGAGTTTTGTCGACACTGGAAGTTGTTTTAACCACAACTTACCGGGATGTATTGTACTGGTTCTGCATTGGTACTCTTGGTATTCGCAACGATCAGCCCATTAACACAATGGTATTAATAAGTCGCAACTGGCATAAGGATTATCTACTAACTGAAAGGTTCGGGGATTTTCGTGATTTCACGGCATCTGATTGGACAAAATTGGACTATTAAGTGGTAGTGGAATACTCCCGAGTAGTTCCCTCATTTACCAGAAAAAGCAAGGTGAAATAGGCAATTTTGTATGAAGCGCAAGGTGAACCACCTTGCGGATTCCATAAATAATTTTGAAATTGTATAGCTTCAATGAAATATATCTTCAAGTTTGTATTGTTTATTTATATTTTTCATATGTCTGTCTGATTATTCGCAAGCCAGGTCACCTTGCGAATTCAAAAATGTCTCTTAGAAGCTATGCCACCATCATTTCCTTAAGAAAGGCGTGTTCAATGACGCCAAATATTTGGGCCAAATGTAGATATTTTAGTGGATATGTCCGGATATTTCGAAATTCCATTGACTGTGAACACGTTTTTTTCCAATGTACCAGATATTCCCAAGCCAAATATCCGCCAAAAATATCCATGCCTGGAGTGGATATTTTTGGAGGGATGGGCAAGGTGCTTGAAATCCGATAAATTCATTTGTAGAGGGAATGGAATCAAAATACGATTGGACCTGTCGTGGCGACATGGAGTCGACAACCTCTGCACCATGTTGGCGCAGGCAACACTTGTGGGTAGGGAGTTGGCGTGATGTTTGTTCTATTCTACATAGGTTAGCACACAGATGTACTCGTACATTGCAAGCCTTCGAAGACAGGTTGCACGAGCCGAGACAGTTGCGGGATCAACGCTGGCAATCGATACCTCTAGGAACCGATACCGCAACTTTCTCTGCTCATTCAATCAGATTAGGTGGGCAGGCGATATTCACTGCGAGCAATGTACAGTACAACCAACTGATCTAGGCTTACGCACATATTTGCCCGAGTCCCGTCCATCACTGGCCGAGTAACGTTATGATTGATTCACCTATACAGTACACGATTATTCGATATTATCGCGTAAGAACTTGTTTAGCATGATGCTCTACCTGGAACAAGTTCGGCATTTTCGAATGGATACATCGTCCACTCATGAGATTCCTTGCACAATTCGTTTTTGATAAATCAATTACGATATGCAATATATTTGAACTCAAGCTTGGGCCGTTTTAAATGTTGAAAACGTGCTCAAGGCCAACAAATTGAAATATCTCGACATTTCAATTTTTGATATATACGGCTTCCAAATGCCCTAATGTTCTGCTTAAGAGCATCTCCATCGCATCCCCATATATTTTTGTCCCCATCCCTAAAATAGAGCCAGTTCACTGTTTTTGGGATGTCTGCAAAAAATCTTCCGTTTTGGTAGCTGTCCCCTTCCCAGTTGACCTCAAGCCGGAAGTGCATAGTATGACATCGAGAGGCTGCCAAATTCACTCTGGAACAGAGTTATGAACGGTGTTTGTCTCTCTCTAGTGGTAGTTAACTTTTCAGAGATTACGACTGGATGGCATGTCGATGGTGACCATCGCCTTGCTATTGAGTTTCCCAAGGTCGGTAATGCCGGTACTTGCAAGCCTACTTGACCGCAGCGATTATGTAATCCCACGCACCAAGTTATAGAGTGTAATTGTTGCTGCGGACTCTTGTCCGTGATGCGCGAACGCATAGCTTTATGCGGTTGCGCCTCTTGGACAAACCCGCGTCCGCCGCAGCGTGGGAACGAGAGTCACCGGCAATCACAGCCGCAGCGATATCGGCCAGATATCGCTGTATGCTGGTGACACTCGTTCAGCCACATCGTTCGCGTGCCCGACGACGGCGAGACGTGGTTCACGACATTGGGAAACTGCACGAATGGACTTGCTTTTTCCATACATATTGTAGTATATTTATTGGGACAATTAGTTGGGATATCCCAATAGTGTGCAATTTTCGGGACAAAGTGGATGTCCCAACCCCAAATTTGGTTTTCGGGACATCCGGTGGGGAAGATTTTGTCCCATCTGATGTCCCATTATCGAGTTGGGACATATTTGGGGATGCGGTGGAGATGCTCTAACTCATCTATTTTTGTCCATCCACCCCATATACCACTGTAACTCATCTATTTTTGTCCATTCACCCCATATACCACTGTAATCACAGCTGGTTGCCTCAAAATTACCACCAAACGACACACATTCAGTGGATTCGCCTGATTTTCCGTATTTCCTTCGCGTTTTCCCGCCTTTTAGCCCGACTTTTCCAGGTTGCCGGTTATTCTCAAATACTGGTAGAACAAGTTGTTCTGACAAGTTGTTCTGACTAACTTCAAAGTATCCACATGTGGCATACGTTACTTTCATAACGTTAAACTATTTCCTTCGTACGCTTAAGCCCGTACAGTACAGTACTGTACTATGGTAGTACCCTTGTAAGCTCAGAACCCCGAAACCCCTTTTGTTTACATAAAATGCGTGCCCCTAAACCACTTGTGTTATTCATATAATGCCTGTTCCCGGGGCTATACGTACCTTGTATGGACACAGTTCCGTGCCACGATCCATGATTGGTGAAAAACAATCACTCTGAAATGTTCAACCAATCGCGTCCATCGTGGGTGCATAACTTGAGGTTTCAAGATTTCAGATTCAAATTTTGGACGGAGGTGAAAGTATGGACGAAACGTTGAAGTATAGGGGGAATACTTCAATTGACATTATTATTACCATAGCTCGTGGAGGTGCAGCGACATCCATGCTGTCTGTTCCCTGGTGACTTGAATAATGAGCATGCAAAGTGTTGGGAGGAAAGCTGTGTGCGCGCGCATTATGAACTTAAACTATGCTTTATTGAAGTATAAATTTCGAATCCTTGCCTTCGCGCGTTTTCCTCCGAACTTCAACCACATGATGTTTCCACCAAAACTGATTTGCACTCAATGAAATATAACTATTTAAGTTATTCCATTTTCATTGCGCACATGATACGCAGTACAATTCATCGGGCAGATGGCTAATTTACAGTTAATTATAAGGTGTTTCATGCAACTTCTACCCAGCTTGTCGTACTTTTGAAGTCTCGTAACTCATCGCCCGTGTATGTGATGAAGCTGCAAAAACTTGCATTCTCAAGGTCGTGAGGAGCTTTATTACTTTATGCAGGACCCATCGTTGTATCGCTTGTCCATTTTGCTCGAAGAAATTTTCAATTCTGTAATTTTCCCATGTAAATGTCCGCCCATGTGTTTGACTTGAATAATGTATGACAGATTTGACCACCAAAATTCTCAGAACCTCTTAATAGTAAATTTTATCAAGTGTACAAGGTATTCAATTTAGCAGTCATTGTAATTATAATATTACATGAGTTTTCAAAGAATGCAAATATTAAATGCTAAGGGTATTATTTGCCTGAGTACCTCATTCTATCCAATCATCTTCGTTCGATGATTGTGATTGGCTGCCAACTGGGCGGAAATTACATCGGGCACACAACACCACCAAATATATCGGCCGCACGGCCAATACATCGGGCATTCGTCCAAGCAACTGCAAAATGGTGTAGTATAGTACTACGTAGTATATCTTGTTAGAAGTTGTAGATTAAGTTGTAGACTCTTAAAAGTCGCTTGTATTTTCTATTTATCTTCATACACATCAACCTCTTCGACGTCATTTGCCCACCCATTGCCCAAGTACAGAAGGGACCATAGTGTTGGTTTTTTATTACTTCCACGTACTACGAAGATGCAGCACTTATTATTGTAAGTTACCATAACGTTAGTGCACAACTACTGTGTCTGATACTAGTATACTAATAGTATGATTGAGGACAGTCAAATCCCTGAACCCTTGGAACAATGAGATCGAGCCAGAAATATATGGGGTCCAAGTTACGTTCTACCATATGGTAACCATCGTGCCGTACTATACTGTTGTATCTCATGCTGGACATTTCAAGCGATATGACATGCAGTTTTCCATCCCAAACCAAAATACCATTCTCCAATTCCGTTCATCAAACTCACATGAAAGCTAGTCTCGTCCTCTCCACCGTGCTCGCAACCACTGCGTCACCCGCCCGACAATCTTTCAAATCCCTCAGCGCGTCCGATCGAACCTCGTTGGAGCAACAACTGGACAAGTGGAAGGCGTCGTATGGCCCTATCGCTGAGGCCAACGGCTTCTTCCCCCAAAAGGACACGAAATCCGCCCGAGTCAATGGCCATACTATCGATGAACTCGAGCGCTTCCACCACACCGTCCAAGAAGTGGAGAACGCTACCGCAGCCAACCCGGGCGCAAAGTTCAGTCCATTCAACCAGTTTGCTCTCTTGACCGACGAAGAGTTCAAGGGCATGTTGATGAAGTCGTTTCCAGAACAAAACTTCACCAGCGGGTCGCCCTTGCCAGAGTTGGCTAATACGCGCGCTTCTGAAGTAGACTGGTCGACATCCAAGTGCAATTCCCCAATTGCCAACCAAGGCCAGTGTGGGTCGTGCTGGGCCTTCGCCGCCATCGGTGCGGTGGAGACTGCCCACTGCATTGCCACTGGCGAACTCTTGGATTTGTCTGAGCAACAAGTAGTCAGCTGCTCAAATCGCAACAATGGCTGCAATGGCGGGAACCCTTCGATTGCCCTTGACTGGATGCAACAAGGTGTGTGCACCGAAGACTCTTACCCGTACACGTCGGGTAAGGGCGGTCAAACTGGTACATGCGGAAACAGCTGCACCAAGAAGAAACTGAGCATTGGCAAAATCAAGAAAACCTCTGGCGAGAAGTCACTCATGACAGTTCTGGAAAGCCAGCCCGCCACTGTGTTCGTCGAATCCAACAACGCAGTGTGGCGCAACTACAAGGGTGGTATCGTGTCACAATGCCCTGGGGCTCAAGTCGACCACCTTGTGATTGCCGTCGGTTACGGTACTTCCACGGGCGATTACTTCAAGATCAAGAACTCGTGGGGGACGGAATGGGGGGAGAACGGTTACATGTACTTAAAGCGAGGGATGAATAACCAGGGAGTGTGCAATGTGGCCACTGAGATCTCATACCCTGAATTGACCGGATCGTCACCCAATTCTCCCCAGTCTAAGCCGACCCCTTCGTCCAGCCATCCCAATCCACCACCGTCGTCCCCCAATCAACCACCGTCATCCCCCAATCAACCACCGTCGTCCCCCAATCAACCACCTTCGTCCCCCGATCAACCACCGTCCTCCCCAAATCAACCACCGT